ATTTCGGGGTGCACTTCATCCTTCAGGAATCATGAATCTGAGGTGCTCATCAATCTGACGGAGATAACAACAGGGGAAGGCATTAAAGGAGAGCCTTTTGACAGGGGTTCCTGCATGCTATCGTATAAACTGTTCATTCAGAGTGAGCTGTTTAGGCTTACGTTTTGCCAAACGCCAAAGGGAACCACGTTGATATTTGTCAGCTGCACCTGTCTTTTCTCCAGCATCCTGTAACATGGTTTAAACGAGGACAGCGTAAACCCACAAAGGTGACAGCCTCATTTGTTTTATGGTTGTAAAACCATGTTAATATGTAACATATTATGTACCAGTCAAAAGTTTGGACACACCTAGTCATTCAATGTTTTTTCTTTATTTTTTACTATTTTCTACATTGTAGAATACTAGTGAAGACATCAAAACTATGAAATAAAACATGGAATCATGTAGTAAGCAATAAAGTGTTAAACAAATCGAAATATATTTTATATTTGAGATTCTTCAAATAGCCACCCTTTGCCTTGATGACAGCTTTGCACACTGTTTATATAGATAACCCAAACAAGGACAGCATAACCCCACAAAGGTGACAGACTCATTTGTTTTATGGTTGTTAAACCATGTTAATATGTAACACAAATATAGATAACCCTTACCAGAACACTGGCCTTGATGTGTCGCCAACATAAATGGGAACATCGGGTCTCGTTGCAGAAAGGGATTTTAAGGTTGGGTAGCTGAAAATAAATTTTTCAGCAATTATCTTAAAACTTCCTGCCTTCTGTGTGCTCATCCTCATGAGGAAAATTGGAATAGAAATTTCTGTTTACTTCCGGAATTGAAACTAGGGTCCCATTTTACACGAAGTACAACTTATAAAGGCTTAATATAGCTTACATAAATGCTTCACATATCATCTGTAATCTCATACTCTATAAATGGTGTATAAAAATACATAGTGTATACACCATTTATAGACGTATTTATGACGTACGCTTATAGATTATTTTGTATAGCATTTATGTAGTGCTTATGAAGGTTTATGCATGCTATATAAAGCCTTTATACTTCGTTTAAAGTGGGACCAAAATTATAAATACATTGAAATCTGTGGTTGCTGGTTGGTGGAGATAGCGGAGGACGGGCTCATTGTAATGGCTGGAATAGTATGTGTTTGATGTGTTTGAAAACCGTTCCATCCATTCCCTTCCAGTGACGTTGAGCCCATCCTCCTATATCAACTAATTTCATTCTACCATACTCCATACTGGTAACATCTCTACATACCTGAGGTGGTCGGAGTGCATGTGGCTGATGTAGATGAGGTCCGCCCTGCACAGCCTCTCCATGGAGTCAGCAGGGGGCTCGTGGAGCAGCCACCAGCCCCTGGCGAAGGCTGGACCTGTCAGCCAGGGGTCGAATATCATCTTCTTCCCCCCTAGCTGGAGCTCCATGCATGCATGGGTGAGGTAGGTCACCTGGAGGAACATGAAGGTCGAGTTTGGAGCAGAGAATCTTGTCGCCCGACACTTTACATTTGATCACGGCGCGGTTGACCATCAATCACATCGATATAAATTGCGTGTCGGCCATGTGGGGAAAGACTCAGAGGTGTGGGAGTTGGGACTGTTGTTTCTGTGTCTCTGGAATTTAAATGAACACATAGGAGAGATGGTCAAAAGCCATCTGTGACCACTGTTGTTGGGCACGGCTGTGATCGGAGGTCTATCCCGATTCGTCATGTAGAATCTTGGATGGCGGCTGGTGATAGCTTTCAACCTTTGCCCATCTCCCCTATGTGTCCCAGGCTTAAGCTCGGCACTGCAGCCTTTCAGGTGAGAACACAGCCTCTGATCTCACATTATAAAGGTGGTGATAGTGATGGGATCAAAGGTGAGTCAAAGAATTTGTAGACACACAACTCTTGGTTATCATTTTAAGACTCATATTTTATTCACTCCGGGTAATTACTAACCAGCCTTGGATCATAGCTAGTGTTTGTGTTCCAGATTAGTTTCAACTCTGTTTTACCACCAGCCAGGTGAAGACATCCTTTTCATGACCAGATCAAAATCACAACCAGATCAAGACAAATTTTTCTGACCTTAACAAAACGTCCTTATACAACCAGTATACATCCAGACCATGACGTCATGTAAGATGTCATAATGTAATTGCAACCAGTTTTGCCCACTGGGGAAGGCCTCAGATCTGTCCATCCGTGGGTGTGTGGTGTGTGTGATGTGCTGTACTCACAGTCACCTCTCCCTCCTGCAGTTCCTGTGGATCCTGGGGGTCTGCCAACCAGGGGTCCCAGACGATCACCTCCACGAGATGAAGACCACCCTCGTCCGTCATCACGACGTCTGCGTTAGAAAATCAAGCCAAAGTCAAATCTCTTCCGATGAATAATCGAATGAATGAATTTGATTTTATTATCTTAATGTACATATAGACATATTAAACATCAGACGTATTATTTACACTGTGGTCCTCATTTCATTGTTAGATGGTCAAAGGAATGGACAGCTGGGCACTCAACCAACAGGACGCGGAACAGCTTCTACCCCCAAGTCATAAGACTGCTGAATAGTTACTTAAATAGTTATCTGCACTGACCCTGTTGGCACTAACTCTTTTGACTCATCACATACGCTGCTGTTACTGTTTATTATCTATCCTGTTGCCTAGTCACTTTATCCCTACCTATATGTACATATCTACCTCAATTACCTCGTACTCCTGCACATGGACTCAGTACTGTACCGTGTGTATATAGCCATGGTATCGGTACTGGTACGGCGTGTATATAGCCATGGTATCGGTACTGGTACGGCGTGGTATATAGCCAAGGTATCGGTACTGGTACGGCGTGTATATAGCCAAGGTATCGGTACTGGTAACGTGTGTATATAGCCAAGGTATCGGTACTGGTACTGTGTGTATATAGCCAAGGTATCGGTACTGGTACCGTGTGTATATAGCCAAGGTATCGATACTGGTACTACGTGTATATAGCCAAAGGTATCGGTACTGGTACCACGTGTATATAGCCAAGGTATCGGTACTGGTACCGTGTGTATATAGCCAAGGTATCGGTACTGGTACCGTGTGTATATAGCCAGGTATCGGTACTGGTACCGTGTGTATATAGCCATGGTATCGGTACTGGTACGGCGTGTATATAGCCATGGTATCGGTACTGGTACCGTGTGTATATAGCCAAGGTATCGGTACTGGTACCACGTGTATATAGCCAAGGTATCGGTACTGGTACGGCGTGTATATAGCCATGGTATCGGTACTGGTACGGCGTGTATATAGCCAAGGTATCGGTACTGGTACGGCGTGTATATAGCCAAGGTATCGGTACTGGTACGGCGTGTATATAGCCAAGGTATCGGTACTGGTACGGCGTGTATATAGCCATGGTATCGGTACTGGTACCGTGTGTATATAGCCAAGGTATCGGTACTGGTACCGTGTGTATATAGCCAAGGTATCGGTACTGGTACGGCGTGTATATAGCCAAGGTATCGGTACTGGTACCACGTGTATATAGCCAAGGTATCGGTACTGGTACGGCGTGTATATAGCCATGGTATCGGTACTGGTACCGTGTGTATATAGCCACGGAATCGGTACTGGTACGGCGTGTATATAGCCATGGTATCGGTACTGGTACCGTGTGTATATAACCAAGGTATCGGTACTGGTACGGCGTGTATATAGCCATGGTATCGGTACTGGTACCGTGTGTATATAACCAAGGTATCGGTACTGGTACCGTGTGTATATAACCAAGGTATCGGTACTGGTACGGCGTGTATATAGCCAAGGTATCGGTACTGGTACGGCGTGTATATAGCCAAGGTATCGGTACTGGTACGGCGTGTATATAGCCAAGGTATCGGTACTGGTACCACGTGTATATAGCCAAGGTATCGGTACTGGTACGGCGTGTATATAGCCAAGGTATCGGTACTGGTACGGCGTGTATATAGCCATGGTATCGGTACTGGTACGGCGTGTATATAGCCAAGGTATCGGTACTGGTACGGCGTGTATATAGCCAAGGTATCGGTACTGGTACGGCGTGTATATAGCCAAGGTATCGGTACTGGTACGGCGTGTATATAGCCATGGTATCGGTACTCATTGTGTATTTATTCCTTGTGTTATTATTTATTTTATGTCTCTCTACATTGTTGGGAAAGGCCTGTTGTGTTGCTACCGTGTTGTTGTCATGTTGTGTTGCTGCCATGCTATGTTGTTGTTTTAGGTATCGCTTTATGTCTCTCTTGTCTTGATGTGTGTTTTGTCCTATATTTTTATTTTTAATCCCAGCCACCGTCCCAGCAGGAGGCATTTTGCCTTTTAGTAGGCCGTCATATTAAATACGAAATTGTTCTTAACTGACTTGACTAGTTAAATAAATAACAATAAATAAATAAAATAGCAGCTCAACTTACCCAGCTCATCCTGTGTGAAGCTGTCGGGAGGGTTCACATACTGCATAGTTGAGACGTTCAGCTTCCAGTAGTGTTTTGTACATCGGACCGTCCTGTATCAGAAAAACCTTTCAATCCCACTGAATAGATATGTTATATCTAAGCCTCTGTATTTTACAACTTGATGTTAGATGGTTCCTCAGCCTGAAAGTAGTCTATGGGCCAGGAGAAACTGTAATCCATGGTTGGGTATTCTCTAAACAGCCACTACAAACTTCAGCTATCTTAAATTGTAGAATCCTGAACTTCCCCTTTAAGTCTACTTACCTTCCATCTAAGTCCTCAATGTCTTTGATGAACAGGCCTCCTTGGTGTTTGCATTGGTTCTTGCAGGCCTTCAGCTCTCCATTTTCTTTGTATATGATGTAGCACTTCCCATCATCTGGGCTCTTCTTAAAGTTGATGCCATCTTTGAGTGAGCGCACTGCCTCAGAGTCCAGGGACAGCACTGTCTTTGAAGACTGGGCTGTCATTTGAGTGGTTGAATTGAAGTGCTGATGAGAAAAGCAGGGGAGTATAAGTGGATGGTACTCGTAAGAGGAATTTCCAGGTGAACAAAAGAGAAGAGCAGTCGCAAATAAAGTCAATCAAAAATCTATCCAGTTTATTACAAGTTGCAACAGGGCGGTACTTCCAGCACAGAAGCAGAGAAAATGTCTACCTGACCTTATATCCTTATCAGCAGACAACTGTTCTTTAAAAATCAGCCCCAGAGGCCTTTGGAAAGTCAAAACAAAATGTAAGTGACATTGCCACTGGCTACAGAATCACAGTGTTCAGACAATACAACAATAATCAGTGTGTCCTCGGTCCTTGTATCTCCAATCTGGCGTCAATCAGTTTCAACAGATATGAGTTTAATTCATAACATACATCATCGAGTCTAGTGACCATCAACCCAAGTGTTACGAGAATTTTGTTATCTCAATGGTTGAAGTCAACTACTTCTTAAATCTTTGAATATTTCCCAAGAGGTTGTAAATCTCTTAGTTTAAATAAAATAAGCAAAGACCCAATTCTGCAATAGTCAGCCTTTATTCATTGAGAGCGCTCTGAAAATCATACAGTGCACAATGTTTTTATACCTTTACTACGCCCCTAAATGGGCCAATGAAAAAGCTCCTAGCCCATACAGTGGGGAAAAAAAGTATTTAGTCAGCCACCAATTGTGCAAGTTCTCCCACTTAAGAAGATGAGAGAGGCCTGTAATTTTCATCATAGGTACACGTCAACTATAACAGACAAATTGAGAGAAAAAAATCCAGAAAATCACATTGTAGGATTTTTAATGAATTTATTTGCAAATTATGGTGGAAAATAAGTATTTGGTCACCTACAAACAAGCAAGATTTCTTGCTCTCACAGACCTGTAACTTCTTATTTAAGAGGCTCCTCTGTCCTCCACTCGTTACCTGTATTAATGGCACCTGTTTGAACTTGTTATCAGTATAAAAGGCACCTGTCCACAACCTCAAACAGTCCCACTCCAAACTCCACTATGGCCAAGACCAAAGAGCTGTCAAAGGACACCAGAAACAAAATTTTAGACCTGAACCAGGCTGGGAAGACTGAATCTGCAATAGGTAAGCAGCTTGGTTTGAAGAAATCAACTGTGGGAGCAATTATTAGGAAATGGAAGACATACAAGACCACTGATAATCCCCCTCGATCTGGGGCTCCACGCAAGATCTCACCCTGTGGGGTCAAAATGATCACAAGAACAGTGAGCAAAAATCCCAGAACCACACAGGGGGACCTAGTGAATGACCTGCAGAGAGCTGGGACCAAAGTAACAAAGCCTACCAATAGTAACACACTACGCCGCCAGGGACTCAAATCCTGCAGTGCCAGACGTGTCCCCCTGCTTAAGCCAGTACATGTCCAGGCCCGTCTGAAGTTTGCTAGAGTGCATTTGGATGATCCAGAAGAGGATTGGGAGAATGTCATATGGTCAGATGAAACCAAAATATAACTTTTTGGTAAAAACTCAACTCGTCGTGTTTGGAGGACAAAGAATGCTGAGTTGCATCCAAAGAACACCATACCTACTGTGAAGCATGGGGGTGGAAACATCATGCTTTGGGGCTGTTTTTCTGCAAAGGGACCAGGACGACTGATCTGTGTAAAGGAAAGAATGAATGGGGCCATGTATCGTGAGATTTTGAGTGAAAACCTCCTTCCATCAGCAAGGGCATTGAAGATGAAACGTGGCTGGGTCTTTCAGCATGACAATGATCCCAAACACACCGCCCGGGCAACGAAGGAGTGGCTTCGTAAGAAGCATTTCAAGGTCCTGGAGTGGCCTTGCCAGTCTCAAGATCTCAACCCCATAGAAAATCTTTGGAGGGAGTTGAAAGTCCATGTTGCCCAGCGACAGCCCCAAAACATCACTGCTCTAGAGGAGATCTGCATGGAGGAATGGGCCAAAATACCAGCAACAGTGTGTGAAAACCTTGTGAAGACTTACAGAAAACGTTTGACCTGTGTCATTGCCAACAAAGGGTATATAACAAAGTATTGAGAAACTTTTGTTATTGACCAAATACTTATTTTCCACCATAATTTGCAAATAAATTCATAAAAAATCCTACAATGTGAAAATCTCATTTTGTCTGTCATAGTTGACATGTACCTATGATGAAAATTACAGGCCTCTCTCATCTTTTTAAGTGGGAGAACTTGCACAATTGGTGGCTGACTAAATACTTTTTTCCCCACTGTACATTCCAATATTCAACTACTTGTATTTTCAAGTAAATACTCACCTCGAAATGTCTTTGAAAGTTATTGAAATACCCAAAATTTGAACCTGGGTCTGATTAGGAGTCTATGTCTAATCTATATGAGCAATCATCCTCAATTCATAGTTTTCTATTTCAGCTCATATGACTGAAATTTATCCAAAGTTAACTTATAAAACTCGTCATGAAATGCAACTAACAGTTTCAGCAAACACCTTCTTTCAGGGCTTGACAGATAAAAATAATGTAGAGTTGAAGATGATATTTGGTATGGTCAGTGATATCCGGGATCCTTGGGACGTCCCTACCCTAAACACTAACCATAACCCCTAACCTCAACCCTAACCTTAACCTGAACTTCAATGGGGTAGGCAAGTCCCAAGGATCTCGGATAACACAGACCTATTTGTGTACGGCACACCGATACAGGCAGAAAGTGGTTGATATGATACAAGGACAGATCAGTAAAGCACAAAATAATCTGTTAATTAATTTTTTGTTCTTATCCGTGTTTAAATTAATCTTTTGAACTCTCATTGTAATTTGATGTAATTCTTCTGCATTTTAACGTTTTGAGTGTTCACAATTAGCTTAATTTATGTAAACTACCATGAGCAAAATATATTAATTAACTACGTTTTTTAATTAATACTATTAAGTGCAATCCTCTGGGTATACAATGTACATCTCACTGTATATGTTTGTAGCCAAATAAATGAGAATGCAATATTATAATGTGTTTATCTGTTAAAAAACATGAAAACGTTTGCCTGTCACCTTTAAACAATGTACGTTTCTTAATAGTCACAACATAGCAAATATTAAGAGAGAAGCATAAATAATAAAGTGCATTACCTTGTGCAGACTGTGTTATGTTGACTTGACACATTGAAATGTGAAGTTTAGACCCAAGGTGATCCCCCAAAAAACATGTAAGATATTTCCTAACAACAAACCATGGGTGACCAAAGAATTGAAAGTGGTGCTTAACAAGAAGAAACTAGTGTTTGTCTCCGGGAATCCACTCCGAAGAAAAGAGGTACAGAGAGAGGTGAACAAAGAGATAAAAAAGGCGAGATGCCAGTACAAGGTGCAACAGATAATGTCACAGGGAGATTCTCGGTCTGCCTAGTTGGGCATTATGAATATGGCAAACGCCCCCTTCAAAGGGAGGCAACGTATCGATCCCTGCCAGGACGAGAGGGTGTGCCACTCTACAGCCGATGAACTAAACAAGTTATTCATTCACTTTGAAGCAGGGTCTCTCTGGAGAGGATGTCATGGCAAATGAGAGCGCACTTGTCCTCAATGAGGAAGTCGTACAAGTGTTCAAAAGCACTGGAGCACGAAAGAGTCCGGGGCCTGATTACATAATGATAAAGAAACGTGTGAGTGAAATATGACAAAAATGTCACACCCTCAGTTAAACTAATTATTAATGACTAATTATTACACCCTGAAACTGTGTGAAACGTGTTAGAGTGTGTGAGCGTAGGGCAAGTTAAGAGTATGACATTGTGTTACCATTTAGCAATGTGTCAGTAGCTGAGTGTAGATGCGGTGAGGAATCAAGCGCAGGAAACACGGGCGTTCGTCAACAGACTTTAGTAACAAAAATAACAGCACCAAACAGGCGAACAGCCAACCCAACCGGGAGGCAAAATACAAAGTACGCACAACACACACAGTGCGTAAAAATGACGATAGCGCACACAGTGCGGACTCTCGGAAAAACAACAATCCTGAGAGTAATACCAAAGAGCAACAGCTTGACAAATAAACAATACCACATAACACCTGCCCCCACACACGAAAACTAAATAGGCAACCAAATCAAACACTAACAAGGGACAGGTGTACAAACAGACAAAACCAAACAAACATGAAACATCGAACGGTGGCAGCTAGTACTCTGGGGACGACGACCGCCGAAGCCTGCCCGAACAAGGAGGAGGAGCAGCCTCGGCCGAAACCGTGACAGTACCCCCCCCTTGACGCGCGGCTCCAGCCGTGCGCCGATCCCGGCCTCGGGGACGACCAGGACGACGCGGAGCAGGGCGCGTAGGATGACCCCGATGGAACTCGGTCAGCAGGGACAGGTCTAATATGTCCCTCCTCGGCACCCAGCACCGCTCCTCCGGGCCGTACCCCTCCCACTCCACGAGATATTGGAGACCCCCCATCCGGCGTCTCGAATCAAGGATGGACCTCACAGTGTACGCCGGAGCCCCCTCGATGTCCAACGGGGGCGGAGGAGTCTCTTCTATCTCATAGTCCTGGAGTGGACCAGCTACCACCGGCCTGAGGAGAGACACATGGAACGAGGGGTTAATATTCCTGTAATCAATAGGCAGTTCTAACCTGTAACACACCTCGTTCAACCTCCTCAGGACTTTGAATGGCCCCACAAACCGCCGACCCAGCTTCCGGCAGGGCAGGTGGAGGGGCAGGTTTCTGGTCGAGAGCCAGACTCGATCTCCAGGTGCGTACACTGGCCCCTCACTGCGGTGTAGGTCGGCGCTCGTCTTATGCCGACGGATGGCCCGCTGCAGATGAATGTGGGCAGCGTTCCATGTCTCCTCCGAGCGCCGCACCCACTCATCCACCGCAGGGGCCTTGATCTGGCTCTCGTGCCAAGGTGCCAGAACCGGCTGGTACCCTAACACACACTGGAAAGGGGTTAGTTGGGTGGAGGAGTGGCGGAGAGAGTTCTGCGCCATCTCGGCCCACGG